TCTTCTTCTTCTTCTTCTTCTTCTTCTTCTTCTTCTTCTTCTTCTTCTTCTCGATCTATACAGATACCTGGGATACGAACATTTGCCACACTTAGAAATAAATTAGGATCCGAGTTGCCCCCTCCCTCCTTAGTGGTTTGTGTGAAGTCCTAGTCGAATGGGCGGGGACAATGGCATTTCGATCGTCGCGAACGACTGTGCCCACCGTAGACCCCATAGCGAGATGTGTGCGAAGACAGTAATCTGTGTGAATGAGTTTAGGGTGATAGTGGACTTCCAAAGCATTTGTCGCACTCTCACCTGCCTAAGCGCGATGGCAAGACACAGTCCAGAAAACCGGAAACGGGATCGGACGCAGTGGCTGACAGAGTTCAACAACCTGTCTATGGGTTCAACACACGCCTGGTCAGATCAGGCTTATGAAGGGAAATATACGCAAACACCAATGAGCTCCCTATTGATAACACAACAGCCAGATGAAGCATTAGGCGTCTATTATTATTAATATTATTCTCGTTGCAATCACGTCCTAGTAGTATTTACGTCCCCGTGGTATTCCCAAAGCTTCAATCGACTCAAACCTAACTGCACCCAAATTATCCTCTTACACTAATATTCATCTAGGCCTTGTCTCTGGGGCAAACTGTTGAATAACAAGACGATTCGTAGGTTTTGTGTTTCATTTATAGTTGAAAAAAATCGATTGAAACCTAGTGCATAATAATCATGCAAATTCGCCTGACTCACAAACTTTTGACGCTCCTCTAAACGTTTTCGTCGTTCCCGTTCGAGAGCTTCGGCAGTTTTCGTCTCGGTGGACAGGGCCTTTGCCTTGATGATCCTTCGTATACGTTTTCGGCCCCGTTTCCCTTCACCATCGGAGTCAAGGTCATTGTCGCCCTCCGCTTCTTCCTTCGGCTTCGCCTTCCCATCCTCCTCGTCATCAATTACCTCAACGTCATCCGCGGATGCCTCTGCAGCAGCATCGATCTTGGAATCGCTGGAGGAGGAGACATCATGCACACGACGTCGGGCGCGCTTGATAGAGGGAATGCGTGTGCGCTGTCGGCGAGCAGATGGCTTCCTTGAGCCCACAACATCATCACCATCCTCATTGTCTTCGTTTGTTTCGGAGCTATTGTCTGACTCGGTCTTCTGTTTCTCCTTGTTGTTGTTGTTGCTGAGCGATTCTCTAGTCGACCGAGTGGTTCGGGTGCTTGGCAATCTAGAGAAAGGCGGACAGACTATCAAGAAAGATGGCATCATGGGAGGGGGGGGGGAGCAAAGAGTCTAAATTGACTATAGGATTAAAGGTTCAATAGATTTAACCACCCCTCATTCAGAAATACAGCACTACGCAACCACCGCCGTCATTGCCTGGTAACGGTGAATTAGGCGTCGTATGGGGAAGAATCCAGCTCACTCTCTATCGACCTACCGTGGCGTTAAGCCAAGAGACTGGGATGGGAGTGTACGCAGTGGTCAATTTGAAATCAAGTCCCGAGTGACCTGGGAACTGGTTACTCACTCTATACGAGGTAGACAACCTACTTTGGATCCAACCTAGGTTAGACTTGTCGTAATAAAAATAAACGGTCAGTAAAGCACATCTGTCAGTGTTCAGTGTAGTTAACACAATTCAAAGTCACTACATTCAGTGTTGTGATGGCTGAAACCTGTAGATAGCGCAGGGTCGAGCTCTCCTCTCCCATCATACGCCAGTGAAAACTTAGGAGACTGAACGCGGTACGTGACGTAGCATTACCTTCTCTTGCAGGCTACATACATGACTGATTCACATTAGGGTCTGATAAAACAGCGCGGTCTTTTTTTGCTATCCACTATCATCACTCAAAAGAAAGTGAGGAAGAAGGCCACTGGACACTGAATAAACAAACAGCTAATTGCTGGATGAATTGCCGACAAAGACCAAAGTGATTGGGATGACTATTTTTTGCTCATAAGTCGTTGCCAGTCAACCAACGTCAGTTATGCATAACCTGCGATTCGGTGTTATGAAAAGCAGCTTACGTGCGTCTCTTTTTGGCGGATAGTCTTGTAAACTTGGGAGCTTTATCCTCAGAGACGAAGGAGGAAGAAGAAGAGGAGTCGGAGTCCACACTTATGGATTCGGCTTCCCCCTCCATCTGCAGGAGACGGCTGCTGGAGCGCGTTAGACGCGAACTGGAGGACATTGCGCTGGAATTGCAGTCCTCGAAGGCGTTGTTTTCGTGGCTAGCAGAGCTCACGCTATCCTCCTTATCGCTGGGGTCGGCGGAAGTAGCCGATGATGAGGATGTGGCAAGTAATTGCTGTCTAGCCGCCTCTTCTTCGTCGTCTTCTATTGCAAAATGGGTTGGCTGTTCAGAGGTAACAGCAGGGAGAGCGGTTATGCTGGTTGCAGAGGAGGAAGATGAGGGCGGCGCGGAAGACGAGGGCAAAGGCGGTGGTACACTAATCAGTGCTTGGTCAACAGGACTAGGAACCTAGAGCAGAAAAGGGAAGGGGAAAACATACATCATAACCGATCGGAAGTAGGCGAGTGGGTTGAGAGTATAATCACTTTTTTCATCAGCTTTTGTCCTCATCGGATAGTTACCCAAAACAGAGTGACCGGAGAACACAATTCCGGTCGATTAAATTGACAGCTTTGATCCGAAAGACAAGGCCTAGGCTAACATTAGCGTAAGAGGGCAGTTTTGATGCATTTAGATTTGAGCCGATTGAAGGCTAGCGAATACCGGGGTGAAGTGAATACTGCTGGGACACGGTTGCAAAAAGAATAATCATAGACGCAAAATGCTCGGTTTGAGAAATAAGCCGGGTTCACTGGAACGAACTTATTAATATACTGTCCTTTGGGAGTGCTTAGTCAGGTCTCCATTGTGAAAACGCTTGTCGGCCTCGCGCTCATCGATTTTCTTGCTGTCTCAGCCTCATGGAAAATGTTTGGTGAGCAGTCTAGCTGCGTACGTTGCGAGTCACTCCCTCGATTTGGGAGGGATGAGGGCCGTTGAGATTCCGCCAGCGTTGTTCGGTGCGGTGGCTAAGTTGGTTCGACGGGTGATTCCGTTCTTGGATTGTGTTTGCGCGGCTTTCTTTAATTCTGCCTGGCCGTCTTATCCAGAGCTTCGTGTACGTAGATACGCAAGACTTTATAAGCAACA